GAAAGATCCGAAAGACAGACAGAATGATATATAGCGCAAAAAAGGGTCCGTTCAGAATCTGACCCGCATAACACATGCTAACATATGTGTCTATAATGTAATTTGTTTTATATCCTGTATTAATATTACTTGTATTATTAAGCAGCTGTGCTTTATAAATGCAGAGGAAACCTGAAATGTTAAACTTATTTTTTAATTTTTTGCTTAGCTTAATCCTGAATCAACGACTGCCTTTCCCCTTTAAGTAGCCTACATTATTGATTATAAGAGTAATATGTAATCTCATTTTGTTAAGTTACGTGTGATTTTCTCTTTTTGTTTGTTAAGGAGGTATTGAGCTAAGTAATTAGTGGATTATTATTCCATTTGCGCTCTCTTAAGTTCCTAATTTAATTCTCCAGATAACATTGAATAACATTGATTCATTCATAGTCAGTTTCATTAGGCAATTTTACAGACTGGATTTGAAATAAATATATGCTCATCAGTACATCCATCCATCCATCCATCCATCCATTCATCATCATAATCACTTAATTCCAACTGGGGACTTTCAGTAAAATTCCCAGGCCCATAATTTGTGCGTAAAAAACACGTTTGGAGCCATCGTACATAAATAGCTAAGTCATTTGATAAACGTGATAACTTGGCTTTTTACAGTGCAATATGAAAAGGCCATGCTATTTTGTCTTGGAAAAAGGTTGGAAGATGAATCTGTGAATGGAGTAAAATTTATGGATGGATAGAATATGAAATGGAAAAAAACTATATATACATTATACTAATTAAAAACAAGCAGTAGCTACAAGATGGGCATCACTGCAATCAAAGATTTACAGTACCTCTTTGAAAGATGAGTGAGAGATACAGTGAGATAAGGCTGACACACTGAAAATGCAAAAATGGGATGCAATTACCCACTGCCAGCATAAGAATCACAGTTTAGATATATGTCGTGATGATATAGAAAGTGGTTCTTGAATTGATGTTCATATTACCATCTTATAATATACAGTTGTAATGGTGAGCTGAGCTACCCCTATTTTGCCAATAATGTAAATCATTCTTTTACTGTTTTGCACTCAGCATGCCGTGAATATTTTCTAACATTATGCTTTGGTCCCACCCTGACTGCAAAAACACTTATGTATGAAGCATAAGCACAAAACATGGATCAGAAGGTCACACCAGCTAGCAGGGCCAAATTGGTTTAGCCATTGCTTGTAGTATTACCCAGGGTTTTGGTGTTGCATTCTTTATTATCTAACTTCCAATATGTGATATACTGGGACTTAATAAACAGGTTTTAAATGTCATTTCAAGTGCCTGTTACATTTCCCTCCTAAGAGTGGCCACAGTCAGAGCCACAGCACAACCACACTTTGAGTAAATCAATAAATAAATGAATTTATGAATATATTAATCAAATGTGCAATGCCTTCAATGTTTCATGCAATAACATTCTCAGTCTGTCATGAGTTTTTCTCCATTCTTTTTTTTTTTGAAAATGAGCTGAAATAATAAAGGCAAATTTAATTTAAAGCAAATATCACATATCATGTTATTTTTAGATGGTTAATAACATGGTTGTGTCCTTAGACAAATCCCCAAGAGCATGGGTAGCAGGTGCAGCCAAGCATATTTCCCAGAGCCTACTTGGACACCATCTCCATTACCGCTAAACGCTCCAAATAACGAATAACCCTCTGACATATTAAATCTGCTGTGGTGGAAACAGAAAATCTACAATATCTCCTTTCTATCAATATCTAAATTATGTAAAAGTGAAAAAAATGATGCATGTATCTCGTAAAGCTGGATTGAATATCGTCGGGCCCAGGAGAATTATCTGAGGGTTCGTGGAGCTGGTAGGCATGTGTCAAACTACAGAATGATGTGCTCCAAGGTCTGCCAATGAGGTGACCATTGAATTCCTCAACATGCTCTTGTTTGATGCCAGAAAACATGTTTCAGGCAAACAGGCAAATTACCTGTTACCCAAATATATATGAAAACCTGTAATGATAACGATAAGGCTATACAAAAATCCTAATTCAATCATTCCATATCTTTCCACTGAGTCCAGCTTCATGTTGGTTGATTGGATGGCACCTACTTACACTATTTCCATCTCCCTCCGCCCTGGCCTATGGCCACAGATGGGCACATTTTTTGGTGGGTTGTAAGTAATGTAGTGTCAGATACAGTATGTAAAATGGCCATAACACTGCCCCATCTCTGGGGATCAGCCTGTATGTTCTGCTATGTGCTCCTCCCCAGAGGAGATACTTACCTTGACCTTGACCATGTTTTAATCTGATGTATTTTGCATATCCTGCAATAGATATAATGGCAGACCCTTGGTATAATCACAATTTAGGAAGAACATGACAATCATTATCACAGTAATAAATGTAACTAACTAACTAACACACACACACACACACACACACACACGATAGGACTTAAATGATTACTTAAGGAAAAAAAAAGAAAAAAAACTTGAGTTTGAAAAGACAATTTTTCAGTTTCTGTCTGAGAAAGTAATTACAAGTTCTTACTGATGAGATGCAGTTTTATAACAGAATACTGAGAACAAAACTTGTTAGAATATACTGTGTGGACTGTCTGATGTAATGTAATAGGTTTCCTTTTACGAACCAAAACTTTTATCTTAATATAAAATTTTTCAATAAGACATAAAAAGTGCAATAAGAAAAATAAGAAAAGGATGAATGAGGAGGAAACACAGTGATGCACTGGATATAGCACCGTGGCTTCACACTTCCAGGATTGTGTCCTGCCCTTGGCTTTGGGTGAGCTTTAAATTTGCTCTGACTGTGTAACTGTGTGTGTGTGTGCACACAGTGATATACTAGCATGATATGCAAAGTGTCCACTGCCTGGTGCAATGTATCACATACATGAATAATTGTAACTTGTATTACATCACTATGGTGTATTTGTATTATAGTGTTCTCTTGTTTAAACTAAATATATTGCACCTGTTATAATCATGAAGTAAACTGACAAAACTCAAATAAATCACACACAAACGCATGGTAACTAAGAAAGCCAGTAACTTTACTGAATTCTCTGCAAAATACAAATACCTTTTTCCAGCAGGAGAAACTTTATTTAATTTCCATTTTGTCACTACAGACAGCTGAATGAAGTCCCTTGAGATACAGAGATGTGGTTTAATTTAATAACATCTTGTCTTCAAGTGGCGACAAAGTCCAGCTTATGCCGCTGTGAGCCTCTTTTACTTTTGACTTTAAACATTCCCCTTTTTAGTTTTATACAAGCTACATTTGTTACTGTTTTTTTGTATATTTTATTAATATATTTATTTTTAATGGTAACTTATTCAGAAAAAAGAAAACAGCAAACCAGATGGAACAACAAGAGTCTCTTGTTTTGATTATACAATGTATCCCAGACCAATACAATGTGTTTTACACTCTTTTTTGACATGCAATTGGGTCATCTTACACCCTCTCTCATCAAACAGACTCATTCATAGATTATTTGAGGTACTGGATGGGTCAATTTGAGGTACCTGCACCTTATAGAACAAAACCAGGTAATTTCTTTAGACACTGTATCAGTGAAAAACACTGAATTAACCCCTATCCCCCAAAAGAAGAAAAAAAGATTGCTTTGTGTCTTTGGTTAAAAAAAATATGAAAAGCCATTACCCAAATTTTTTTGAGGAACCCTATATGTAAAAACAGCAATCCCAGTGATTGCTCCCGAACCATGATTCAAAATTTTACAGAAAATCCGAGTGGATGCAAGCAAAAAAGCGGCANCAAATTTTTTTGAGGAACCCTATATGTAAAAACAGCAATCCCAGTGATTGCTCCCGAACCATGATTCAAAATTTTACAGAAAATCCGAGTGGATGGAAGCAGAGACACAGGATCCCAGTTAGATTGATTAATATACCTTAGAAGCAAATGAATTTCATGTCTGACAACTTGTGCTTTAAAATTATGTGTACTTATTGTACACTTCACAATTGGGTTCAAAATTTTGTTTTGAGACACAGGATACAGCTCTAACAGAGTATGAATGCAGCCAATTTAGTACTTTCTTATCACAAAGGAAACAACATATTTTAGCTACTGTGCCGTGAATTTCTGAGCAAGAATAAGTTGGGATTTGTATGGATGCATGTTATTCTACTCTTCAGGTTTTGGTTTAATTGAATTTTTTAATTCATTGAAGGTGGACGTGCAATGGATTCCTCAGATTGTACGTGTGCAACATATACGCATTTCAGTACAAATGTTCATTAATTTCATGCCAGTTTCATAAATTCATATAAAATTGATGTTCAGAATAACGGCAATGCCACTGGCTTTGGTTTGACATCATAACTTGCCTGAATTCATAGTTGATGGTTAACAAAAAAAAAAAGAAAAGATCTGGGGCTCCGCCCCATATGCTAATTACATTACGCTGTAACTTCATAGTAACTGCACACAGTAATACTGTAAAAATTTGAGTAATAGCAAATTGAAACAGGAGGCAGAAACAAAGTAAGACACATCGCAAAACAGAAAAAGAAGCAAGTTGTGCTTCGTTTTAACCAGCTTTTGTGTTTCATGCTCTTGTTAGCTCAGCTCCCACCCGAAACGGAGGAAAATAAGGTAACAACCATCCAGAAGATGATCAAAAACACACACAACACCTCTTAAGGTACATGTTAAATATAGATGAAAATAGACTAATTACCATATATATTAGTACAAAATTTTCTTTAAAAAGTGACAAAATGTCTTTTAATACTTTTTTTAAACACTTGACAGATTGCCTGCTGAACAACAGAAATTTGTACCACTTGGGTATAAATAATAACTGCAGTATGTAAATTCAATGTCTTCAATGGTTGTCACATTGGAAGAGGTATTTCTTTTCCTTTTAAATATATATGGGCCAATCACTCCAAATGTTTCGTTAGGTTAAACTAACTACACCCATGTTTTGTTCAGGAAAAAAAAATGAAAACAAACAATATAGCGCAGAGAAAATGTGCAACTGCACGTACAACCCAACTATTAGAGAAAAACATTTGCTATACCTATATATATATAATCTATATATAGATTATATATATATATGTATAATCAAAGCTATACACAGCATGAACATTTCACAGATTCTTAGTATCATATATATAATCAGAAATACACAATGAATGAAAAGCCTCTACAAAGACAAAATAGTCTATGAAAGCATAAATTTGAGTAACTTTTCTTTTCTTTCAGTTCTTATGTTTCTACCTCTTTCAATATTGGAAAAACTATCAAAACATTTTGGCTTACATAAACTACAAAAAGACACAAAAGCTTAGCATTTTATTCATTTTATATGAAAATATAAGCAAATGTATCTTACATTTTTTTATGTTCTAATATATAATGCAAGACCCCAATTTGTCTTAGTTAACACTAGCATGGCTTTTAAAGTACGATCTGCTTTTAACTGAATGCGTTTAAGTCCTGGCATTTGTATGCACAACACATCAAGAGGAACATATTTTCCATTGACTCCATCTGTCATATGTCTCTGCCACCTTTTTATACGGGTCTGCAGGTATTCCTGTACAATCTTCCTAATGTTGCATAACAGCATCCATTTTTATTAGCAATTCATCTGAGAAGTCTGACAGCATTTGCCCACTCCCTCCCTTCCCAAACCTATATTTACATAAATACGTTGAACCTGCAACATGACATCATCTACTGTAACTTACATTTTGCAAAGGAGTACAGAAGGGATTGATAAAACCTAACCTGTACACGTGTATTACCGATACAGCTCAAGTGCTAGGCTGTACTCTTAGCAATATATGCTTAAACTTTATTTTCACTGAGGCAAGTTGTAAGTACTTTTATAAAACAGAGTACCTGACTTTACTGTAAATATATATATATACACAGCATATACACATATATAAGCAGGCATATATGTAAGTGCCTACTTATATATGCATAGATATGTATATTTTCACACACGGCAAGAAGTAATGCATAATTTTTTGCCAGAACACCCCATCCAGCCCTTTCTCCCCTCTCCGATTTCGTTATACCTTTCCAGAAACCCTGACCACTTATATATATACTTTAATACATATAGCACACACACTCCGCAAAAAAAAAACAATATATTAAAGTTGAATTTAAAAAAGGGGGGGAGGGGCAGGGGACACTCCTGGGCGTAAGGGCGGTATCGCACTTGCGGCCAGGTAATGGGGGGTGAATCATGTGGCCCAGCCCTCTGACAGGCGTACTCGTTTGACCGAGGGGCTCTCTCGCTCATCCAGAGACGGCCGCACCAGTCCCAGGGGCGAGTGGAACTCATTCCTGTGCTCGTCTCGGTCGCTGCCCTCGTGCGAGCTGCTGCAGCTGCTGAGACTGTCGACTGGCGAGCGGCCCGAGTCCTGGCGGGACTGGGGCAGCTGCGGTGGGTACCCCGCTGGGGTGCTGCTGATGCGATCTCTAGGAGGAGAAACAGGTTCGGACTTGATGTGCAGGCTTTGAGCAGAGGGCAGGGAGAGATTTGAACTCTGACATAAGTGAGTGCTAGTGCAATTTCTGTAGGAGGAAAGGAAACCCAGTTACAGGATGAGGAAACTCCCGCGCTTTAGCGCACTCTCTCTCTCACACGCTCGCTCACAGACACACGTGCACAAATTGTGGCATATTCAAGTAGTCACAGCATCATACAAAAATATAAGACCACAGAATTAAAGAGGCAGTGTCTGTCTGCTCCACAGATGGTGAAGATTGTTAGCTTGTGGTTAGAAGCAAAAACTGAATAAATGGTTTGAATGGATTAAATATACATGTTTTTTCTCTCTTCAGAACTGATCCTGCATCTGTCAGTACTTTTTGGAAAGTAATAGATAATAGCCCATACGATGCCTAACACTGAATTATGTAGGTAGATGTTTTCCCCAATAAGTTGGCACCAGTGGTCACTGGCTAAAAAGAACAGGAAAATTCATATTGAAATTATGAGGATTTGTGAGGGGAGATACAAATAATCTCTACAGACTGATATAAAACATATAAAAATATGCATTTAAACTCCCTCAAAAATTACCATGTTTATACAGTCAATTTCTCTACTTAATCATTTGCACAGTGTTGCCAGTGAGGACAGCATGGCTTGAGTGGAGATGTCGGCCAGTATTTTGAGCTGAAATGTCTATGATGAACCACGTGCTTCATGTAAGACTTTTGTAAATGTTACTGTTTGTAATGCATGAACATTGTTGCAAAAAAGAGCAAAGCACTGATTAAAAGCATCAACAGAATCTCACATGCGTAATAACCTGTGGGCTCTTCCTTCTCCAGTGATATTTGACATCTTTGAAAGTGTCACTCACTGTGATGAAGAGAACATGCACTGAGTGCTGCTGAAACACTGCATGTGTTGGTGTGTGAGCGGGACCCTTAGCCTGCACTCACCCCAGCTGGCTTAGCGCAGAGTGCTGCATATTCTGCAGGTGTTGGT